TTATGGTTCATGCAATTTCATGAAAACATTACTATTTTTTTTGAGAGCATGTAATTAGAATATTTTTTAAAATTAAAAATTTATTTCAATAATTAATATTTAATATAACGTCGTGCATCACATTATTCTGGTACTTATATTATTAAAATTTGATACGAGTACGATAAGGTTGGTATTTTCTCTGTGATTTATATTTGAAGTAGAATTCTAATTCCCTACTAACTGCTCAATAAAACCCCTGTATAAACAAAACAAACAAGTTCAATTGTATCTCAAAGCAGTGAGAAGCAGCAATAACAACAACCTTGTAAGTTTTTATTACTCTTTTCTTTTATATATATTTTTCTTATTTCTATATTTGTTTTTCTTCTCTCTCTGTCACACATACGCAAATTTTTCTTAATCTCTCTATGCTACTCGGCCGGGCCACTTGGCCTGAGGCCGAATTGGGCTGAGTTCCACAGCAACTCGCCAGGGCATAAAAAAAAATGTTAAAAATATAAAATAAATGTTAAAATAAAAAGTTAGAGATATATTTTTAAATGATTTTGAGGGTTTTAGGATTATTTGGGAAGTTTTCTTATCTTAGGAATTTTTTTTTTTTCTGAATTATTCATGGTATGACACAAATTTTTAAATAATCCATGTATTTTTTGTCATATTTTGTAGTTTTTTAATGACTCCATTAGTTCCTTTAATTTTTGTTTTTTATTAACTGATTTTAACAAGTTTTTACCCTTTTTAATTTTTAACAATTTCTAGTTTCCTTTTAAATTCAGTCAACATACATCCAGTTTTTCCCTAATAACCAGATATTGAAATCTTGAAGATATTATTTTAGTATTTTTTTCATATGGTACCTAACTGATGAGAAGAAGATAAGGTAATCTTCTTTTTCTGTTGGTCATTTTACTTCATGTTAGTTCTTTTTACTTGTCTTCTTCCTAAGATTGAACCATTCTTGTTATTAGACTTCCTTTTTCTAATTCTTGCCTATTTCATTTATTATTAATAGAAATCGAAACTTTTGTCTATTTTACTTTAATTTTTGTGAAGTTTATGAACGGACCCAAAATAATTTTGGAAATTAAAAAATAGTCAATATTTTTAGACATTTTGTAGTGAGGTCCAAAACTTTTGAGTTTTTTGTTTTTCCCATTTTGAGAGAGGTGTTTTTGTACTGGTTACTTTCCAAGTCCCCACACAACTTTTTTTTTTTTTTGATGTGTGTTATGAGTAGTTCGAAGTTCCACTTTTGAATAACTTATCACTTTCTTTTTTTTTTTGTTGATGTGTGTTATCAGTAGTTCGAAGTTCCACTTTTGAATAACTATTTACTTGTGGGTTTAACTTTCACTAGTCGGATTGCTTGCGTTGCACATAAGCAAAAGTGTTTTTTTTTTTGAGTAATTCAATGGGGAAGATTGGCTCCTACCCGTTTTTTTAAGTAGATTAGGAATTAGCTTTATGAAGGTATTAGTCGGTGGTATTAGCGGTGGGAATATAAACCACAACATAATAACTAGGGTGTGGGGTGCTATCACCACGACCAAAGCCCTTTTCCCAGGCAAGAGTTTTTTCATCCGATTGATTACCACGTCCTATTATATTCTTTGTTTAAAAATTAGAAACATACCCTATTCTAAAATCCTTCTATTCATAGGCACCGAACCTACATTCTCTAAAGATAGGTCCTCTTTTATTCTTGCGAAATGTGTGTCTACCTTTAAATGTGGCTTAATAATGTAAAATAATAATAAAAATATATAATGTAGTATAAATATAGATATAGATAAATAGGAGTTCAATCTCCTCCAAAGTCTTATTAACCATTAATGGTTGAGGACAATTGTTGAGCGAGCCAATAGTTTCTAGAAATCTAGTTAAGAAGCTTCTCCTTTAGAAATTTTATTTTGGAAACAAGGTAAAGAAAAACTTAAATCTTCTTTGTATTTTTTATGTAACAGTTAAAAAGCTTTCTCATTTCATTATGGAAACAGGATAAAGATTGTAAAACTGTTTTCTCTCTGTATGGAAAGAAGATAAAAATTGTAAATTTCTTTCTATCTGCAAGTTTATCTTTCTATTATGGAAGCAAGATAAAAGTTGTAGTATTGCAATGTGAATCTTCATGTAACTCAATTTTCTTCACAAATTGGACTTTTTATTTGCAAAAACATGAAAAGAACCTCTAACATGGTGAATTCCATTCTCTCTTGACTCCTTTGCTTTATCGACTTTTGCATAGAATACCTTTTGAAGAGAGTTTAAAAGTTTAGCTGACTCTGGCCTCTCCAGTGCCAAAGCACCCATGCAGACAACTTATATGGAACAAGTATTTGGATTCTCGTTGGTGATGTCATGAATACGCATGAAGGTATCATTATATGATATTAGTTACAGGCAAATAGATATCGATTTGACTTTCTATTGGGATTTCCCAACCCCATACCGCAGCTAGTTACAGATTATCTATTACTAATATTGTATTTAGTTACCGGTTGAGATTCCATTACGAATATTGTTTAGTTATAGATTGAGATTCCATAACTAATATTGTTTAGTTACAGATTAAGATTCCATTACTAATATTGTTTTTAGTTTCAGATTGAGATTCCATTACTAATATTGTTTAGTTACGATTCCATTACTGTTTCACAAAATAATTAGTTTGTATAGAAGAGAACCAAGGCTCTCAATCTTGGAACTTGAGAACTAAGACCCTAAAAGCAAAGGAATTTCCTTACTTGTGTACTCAAATAGATATTGTTTGTTGATGATGGGATAAAGCAAAGGAATTTCCTTGCTTGTCTACTCTACTCAAATCGATGTTGTTTGTTGATAATGGGATGCTAATTATTTCATTTGTCAATTGAGAGGGGCATGGAATCTAAAATGTTAAATAATTGATATTTTAGGTGTGTTTTGATAAGTTACCCTTGTAGAAATAATGGATGTCGAATTCTATGGGAATTTTGATACTATATTAATTTCATGAGCATGTCAACTGGTCATTTTCATTAGTGAATTCGATTTTGATTTCGATATTTGTGCTAGCATGTTAGTTTCACAAAATATCAGTTTGATAAACCCACGAGTACGTGCTTTACCTAAAGGAGCAAGTGTACAATTTACTTGCATGAAAGCATGTTGTACGGTTCTTACCAGGTGATATAACATTGATGGTCAATCTGGCATTGTTTATAGCATCATCTATGCATACTTTAGGCAATATACACTGAGTTACAAAGTTTAATGGATAGCTGAGCAATCAGAATTAATCAAAGAGCCCAAAGGAAGATGGTCCAGCAAAAAATGAATGGAGGTTGCATATTCCATCACAGAATAAATTTATTTCTCATAATAGCAATGAAATTAGCATAAAGGAAGCTGCTAATTCTAACAGCAAGACTAAATAAGAAACACAGTAGGCCCAAAAAGCACTAGAATTATAATGGATGAAGTGTAAATTAAAGGTCTCACATATTTGTACATGTAGTACAATTAAATTACTGAAAAATGTCACTATCCAATTTAAAAATGTGCATGCATTTTAGACTGTATCTACAAATTACGAATTCTACAATTAAGCTTTGTTACAATTCTTAAAAAAACAGACTTGCTTATATCCTCAATCCATGAACAGACATTGACATACAATGGAAAAATTTATTCATCATCCATTGGTTTGTGAGATTATTTCTCAAAACTATGTTTGCATGCCAAACATCATCATCATCATTAGAGTCTTATCCCAACTATTTAGGATCAGCTATTCATGAAAAGATATGCAATCTTTTACGTTGGCTGCCGTATCCATGACAGTGTTGTATTTGTATATGTCAAAGAAATCTAAAAAATCAAAAGTTATTATCATGAATTAACAAGAGATATAGTGTGAATTGTTGATGGCTTAGAATGGGCAATGAGCATATCCCATTCTGAAAAGGGATATTTGATCATGCAAGTCATATAAAGGAACTGCTGAAAACACCATTATCATGAGTGTTGACAAGAGAAGGATTTGCGGCTATCTTGTGCACAAATTGTAATATAAGTTCTTATACGATTAAGACCAAGATCGCCCTATTGCAAAGGCCTTGTAACAAAATTAAAAATGGAGAAAATCACTTACTTATAATGAAGAAAATTTGAATCAGACTGGTGAATCATTCAAACCTTCATTGACAAAATTATTGAATGTCATGAGAGAAAAGAGGAGGACGCGGGATCAGAATGGTGGCCGGCAAATCCACAAAATAATGTAAATGATTATTCAAAGACTTCCTAAATTTAATTCATGAATACAGAAATGCATTAAAGGACAGAAAAAATACAAGCAGCATTCATATAAAGTGCTTTCCATACTAAATGTAGAACATGCCACAGATGCCATTTTGGAGCTCAGAAAGTCTCAAGCAGATCAATTCTCTCATTTTAGTTGTCAACTATCAATCTCATTGTAAGAACACATTGAATCTCTACCTGGAAGCCTAATATGCAAGTCATCAACCACAAGTAAACAAACAGCGGCCGTGCACAGTAAATTTATAACATAAAAACACAAAACATTTCAGCATTCTATTTCTAACTATTTGAAGTGAAATGATATTAAAATTCTAAATAATGATAAGATTCCAATCCAAATAGCCTCAAACTTCTGAACATAAAAATAAAAGAAAAATATTAAAATTGTAAATGATGATAGAATCCAATCCAAATGGCCTCAAACTGATCAATAAAAACATAACAGAAAAAGTGGGGGGGGGGGGGGGGGGAAGAGAAAGAAAAGAAAAAACACTACATGCTTTCTGGTTGGTGGAGCACTGGGTCATCCAAGCCCAGGTTTGAAGTAAGAGAGGCCAGATATGCATCATGAACCTCCTTTTGTAAGAAAAAGTAATGCCTAATTGAAAACACAATAAGCAACTAGTCCTAAAGATGATCTACAAAGAACTTAGTTGCTTTGATCATGGCCTTAAAGCAGCATCAGAGCCATTTTATGATGAGGTTTGAACATGTGTCGCAGTTATAGTCCGAAACTGCAGGAGTGTCGGAGTGAACGGAAAAATCTTAAGTGAGAAATCTTCATTGAGTTTATCATTCGAACAAAATCTCCATTTAATATCTCTTTTATTTCCATCGATGTCGTAAGAAGTGACCTCAACGGTCCTCCTCACAACTCGAGCAACAAAGAGACATCCACGGTGCCCAACTATACCCAGATCACGAACATGCGGGTATGATCCTCTGCGGTAGAAGCGTTTCTCAAGACACAGTGTTGTACCTTTCTCCCATATCGTCTCGGAGAGCCGCCATATTACCAACTCAAATCTTTTCGGTTCCTGAACCAAGCAAACCCTGCCATCCCACTCCATCATGCAGCATGACTTCCCCGAGACCCCTGGAGGAACTCGAATGCTTCCCCATTCTTCTCTTTCCATATCAAAAGTGTAGACAGCATGCTCCCCAAGCTGGTACAACACGCTGCCAACGCATATGAACCTCCCGCCATAAATGAACACCTGCATGCCCAGGGAAATGCGTTTCCACCGTTCAGTCTCCGAGCTGAACATCCAAAGTCCTCTTCTAATCGAACCGGTAGGCCAGCACCACACCAACACCTTGAATGAGTAGTTCAGTCGGTTGAAATACAAACCCTGAATCTCAAATTCATAATCTTCGATGTATGGAAGGACGATGAATTCCTGTGTTACAGGGTTGCACACAAAAATGTCTTTATTTTCGTCCTCTGTCCTGTAACAAACCATCCCATGGCTGCATGCCAACTGCTTTGGACCTCCATCTACTGAGTTAAGCCTCAGATATCTAAGGGTCGCACAGGCATTTGGTGCAGTGAGTTCGCGCAGAAAGAAGGATCCAGACGAGAGTGAGACTATGGCAAAAGTATCACAAGGCTGGTAAGGGGAGAGATGATGTTTTTCAGCAAAGATAGGTGATGAGAGGTGTTGTTTCCATAACTTACACACACATTGGAATCGAAACACCGGCTCAACAGGGAGTCGTGAAAGAATTTGGAACATGATGTCCTCCGAGAGTTCTGGGAGAGAATGAACTTTATCACTAGCAACGAGAGCACCATTGTCATTCTCCCCTCCTCCAATGGAAGTGGCTTCATGGGGAATGAGAGGCATTTCCACTTCAGTAACCGAAACTGCATGCGATTGCCTTCTCTTTCTCGAATTTTCAGAAGTAGAAACTTCATGATTCTCCGACATATTGAAAGTGATATGACTTCTACTCAAGGAGCAAGAGATACTTAAAAAAAAGAGAGTAGAGCTCTGAAGATACTAAGGCAGAAGGTTTCAAGAAGGAAAGAAACAGAGCTTGAAAAGGACTTGAAATAGAGCTTGCTGTTACATGACTCTAGCATCCACTGTTATGCATTTGCATGCTTTACTTTTCTTAGGTATCTCAAATTAAAGAGACACAGAGACAGCACATAAGACAATTAGAGAGAGGCCTAAAGATAGTTGAAACCAGCCCACAGTAAAAGTTCCTCCCTAAGTGGTTTTCTTCTTCCCTCCTCTAACACATTTAAATGATGAAAAATTTTGAATTTTCATCATGCCAAAAAATATAAATAAATAAAAACGCACCCCATCTGATGTTAACTGTATATATTGCAACAAAATCATCACCATCCATCTTATAAATAGTAAGCACCCACTTACCCCCCAAAATAATAAAAAATATAAAAAAAAGGCACCCCATTTGTCATTAACAGTCTATAATGCAACAAAATCACCACCATTCATTTTATTTGATGTCATTAAAGTTCTGAGCTTTCTTTCTTTTTGCAGTAGCCAATAGGAAGAAAGCCTGTGTTAATGGAAAGAACACAAGACAACAATGTATTTGGACAATAAAAAAAAAGGAAAAATATCTATTAAAATGGAAAGGCACCACAATTTTGACCTGTTAACTGTCAATATTATGTCCATAAGGGGTCTCAGAACTGTGATTCTTACGTGCATTTTGAAGGATGGGGTTTTGGCCACGAATCTGAGGGGGCCCAAACAAATAATAACAATAACTAAAGAAAAAATTTGATGCAAGGTGTCAACTTTATATTATATAAGTACGGTGCATTTAAAAAATGCCATGGAAGAGAGTGTCCCAAAATTGAAAAACCTTCTAATTTGATCATCCCGACCTCTAGATGTATGAATATGAAGAAAAAAAGAACTTCAAGTTCTAACTATTTGGATTGTCTATTTTCAAGATTTTCAAATGTTTATAGATATGTTAGATCTATACTATTTTTTAAATTTAAAATTTTATAAATAGAGACAAAAATATATTTTCAAGCTATCATAATGTTTATGGCATTGGAACTACGTTCTCCAAACAAATTTTAAAGGCCCTCCTTACTTCTACAGTATAAGGAGGGCACCTTAGACAAACCTCACCCAGGCTTAAAACGTTATAGTTGGTTTATTTTAGGTTTTTTATTTTGTTTTGGACTATCCATTTCAACTCTTCACATATCAACAGATCTGCACTTTTGAGCTATGGGTTCGTAGATGTAAATGAAAATGTATTTACAGTGGTTTGACCTAAATCCATGGAAATTTGTGATTTAGGGGAACTCACAATAAACTTTTCCTTTTTAAATGTTAAAAAATTAAACTTCCCCTTTTTTAAACTATGGATAAACACTTTGCATGCAATGGAGGGCTTACCAATTGGCTTGAAGTTTTTGGTCACTTTTGCCAGTCTTTTTTTACATGTGTGATTAATTTCTCTATAGCACAAGGTTGGAGTTTCCACCTGAATAGGGTTAGGGTTTGTAAAGAAATACCATGCAATATCTACCGCATTCCCCAGAAAAGAAATATGCTACATCCATCTTAACTGAGCCAAATTGAAGGGATAGTTCATCTCGACCATTCCTTATTGAGATGGGAAGATTATTGGTACATGTGAGATACTGTTTGTTTTCTACAGGAATCATGTTATAATTTTTATGAAAAATATCTATGGCATCTGTACTACTCTTATTGATAGTTAAGGGTAGGACACTAACGAAGAAGAAGCCTCAATTAACTATCAAAAAAAAAAAAAACAGGGGGGACATTATCAAAAAAGTTTTCTGTGAGTCTTCATGCATCCACCTTATCTTGTAAGGGTTTTACGACCTGAAACACATCCTAAATCACTGTAAATCTCTTTCTGACCTCAGATCTATAAATCTAGCGCTCCAAAAGAGTGTAGGTTTCATGACATTGAATAATTGAAATGAATGGTCCAAGAAGATGGACCCTGTGTTTAACGCACAAAATTCATTCTTTCATTCAGATTCATAATCGTGGTAGTCGAGATAATGGGCCTGTCAAGTTTTGGATCCTCAATCCATCTCCAAAATGATTTTTGGAAGGTGGACACACGAGATTAGGTATGTCACCCTACAGTTACCAGTAAAGATCCCATTATTAAGGGGTAAAATTTCTTTCAAATTTGACACAATATTAATTGTTTGATAAAGAGAAAAAACTATAAATATCAATTGCATGGCAAGGACAATACAATTATGGGCATTGTTTTATTGGATAACCAAGCATGGATGCATGCACATAGCCAACTGATAAATTTTCTCTTTGTTTAAGGATAGATTTTCCCTTAGTTCAAGGGATTCTTGCTTTTGAGCAATCTTTTTCAATCTATCTCTGATAAATATGCTATTTTTTCCTTGTGCCTATGAGACCTTTAGGCCTTTTGAAGGTCTAAAGCCCTAATAATATTTTTACGAGGTCCCATAATATTTTTTCGGGTCCAGGTCTAGATCCAGTCGGACAACCCGACCCATTACCTCCACTGCTCCAAAAAGCATGCAAATCTAAATCTAAGCAAAATTAAATGAGAAACCAAGAGCGTGAGCTAAGATTTTCTCAAAAAAAACTTTTCCAAATAAAAAAGAGAGAATATATTCGTCCCAAACATTATATCCCAATTTGGTATTACAATAATGATTTCACAAATTTATCTCCTAGAACAATTAGCAACTTAACATTATAAATTAAGGTGTGAATAAAGAAAGAGAGTACATACATTGTTCTTATCTCTAAATTAATGGGGTAAGAGAGAAGATGCTCAATTTTCCCAACATTTAATAAAGGGCGAGGATTAATAACCCTAAAATTATATCTTTAGTATAATGACATCATAAAATTATATCTAACCTTATTATACTCATTTGATATCGCAGTAAATGTAATGGATGAAGACAAAAAATCAAGATACATGCACATGACACCTCAAAAAAAAATTTAATGGGTAAAGAGACAATTCTAAATTTCTTAAAATTCAAATGAATTTGAGGGATAACTATGTTTAAGGAAATTTCTTCTTTTTTTTCTTTTTGGGTAAATTTAGTAGGGAATAAGTCTTCTACCATAGTAGAAATGGAATTCAAATAGGGGAGAGGTCTCCTATCTAGGATAAGAATGGAACGCAAGACGTCATTTTGTGGTGTCTGATCACTCCGACCATCTAACCATGAGTCCTTTTCTACAACTTAGGCAATTGATACCTTTTTTGGTGTAGTCCATACTTTACAAACTAAAGAACCTATTTTGTAGTTAACTCTTTTTCAAAAAAAATTCAAAATGTTGTCTATTTTTTTTGTATAAGATTTTTATCAAGATAATATTGGGCACACGTGTTATGTAATCTGAAAGCCTGATTAACAATTTGAATTTAAAAAGAAACATGTTAGATACGTAGAAATAGACTAAAATATTTATAAGGAAAGTTAGGTTCGATTTGGAAGAATTGATAATGGCTATCTAATAAAGCTAGTATGTTTGTATGAGGTTTTCCATACCTTAATTTTGTTATACAAAAAGATATTATTTCCAACTTTGTTATATAAAAAATTTAAAAGTATTTATGTTCTAAATTACGTGTAACTTCAATTCATTTTTAATGATCCAAGAAACATTTATTCTGTGATAAATAATATATTATTCTGATATACTAAATCCCCAGCAATTAAACGATTAATCCTACAAGCGAGACAAGCATAAGATGATAAGACTATCATGATAAAACTCCTTTATGATAATATTCCAAAATGATAATTTTCAATAAGATGAAGAGAGCTGTGAAACATAGACATATGTGTCCAAGGGTTTGACCATGTGTTGACATATGGTGGATAAAAACATGCGTCTTGAACTTGAAGAAACGCATGCAACAAATCTATGGCGTGTATAATGGTGTGTCCCTTTTTTGGACTCTTTTCATTTTAGAGTTTGGCATTCCTCAGTATAGAAACGATATTCTCCAAAAGGTAACATTTTATTTAAAAATAAAAATATTTTAGAATAATATAATTAGTTTACAATTATCAGTCCACCATGGTTGGTCCTAAGCCTCTCATGCTGGTTTCAAGCCCAGATAAAGGATGAGGAGGGTTTTGTTAGGGAGGACCGCAAGTATAAAACTTTGCCATATATTTTCATTAGTAGCTGGCTCCAAATAGTTGGGAAAGGATTCGATGATAATGATGATGAAAAGTAGTTTAGATAAAAAATAGAAAATTATTCCTATTTTTAAATGAGGGTATAAGTAATGTGATCATATGATTTTGGATGAATACATTAGGTCTCTATTTAATAACCACACACTAAGGGTGCTACGTTTTGAATTAATAATTAGCTAATAGTTTTTAGCTTTTCTATATGTTGTTACGATACAATCTTGCATTGGACTATAAGAATTTTTTTATGAATAAAATTATGATTCATAAAGTAACAGTTTTTTTACTATTTATTTATTTATTTTTATTATTATAAGTTACTATTGTTTTCGCATACGAATTGTTGAATATATAAATACTGATGCGAACTACACATAAATATCAATATATTTATATATATAGACACACGCATGTACGTTGACACCCTACAATGGACATGTTGTGTCTAGATGTCATATTTTTTTGTTCATGTTTCTGACACCCTCATCCATATCAGACATTGATGCCCATTTCTATGCGACATAGAAAGAAAAAAAAATTAAAGGCATAAATTAACAAGTTATAAGAGAAAAAAAGAAAAGAAAGAAAGGTACATCAAATGAACAACTTGGCAGCCAGAGAGAAAGAGAGGGAGGTGCCATTTTTTTTCCACCATTACATGACTTAATAAGGAAGAGAAACCCTATTTATATTTCTAAGCCATTACAGAGGAGGAAAGCCAAAGGCCTCAACAAT